AAGCATGTGGATCAAAATTTTTTCACCACTAAATCGGCCATTGAATACTGTCTATGTGACATTATCTGAATTTCCAAAAATCTCACTTTCGTTTTTTCGCCTAATTTCCATGTGGTTGCCCACTGTGTATAGAGGAGGAGCGGAGATAGTGGCAGATATGCAGCTTCCGCTAAAGCAAGAAATTTTCTTTAAAAATGCCCAACTCGAAATACAGTAACACTTCCAATCGCCTGTTTAACGCAACCGCATCGGACGAGCTATACATGAAAATCGACTAGCAGTCAGCCTTTTGCCTGTACGTTACCAGTTTTGGTCTGTTGTTCATCTTTGCAAACATTGGAGGATATATCATTGCAGAGCTGAGATCAAAATGTGCTCTTCAAAATTTAGTATGGATTCAAACCGATTAGATCCATCGTTTTTCTGTTACAATTATTTTGCCACGAAGTGGAAAAGTAAATCTCGCAGAAAATACTTCAGCCATCTATACTCTAGCTGATCAACGATCGATCTATTCGACTTGAATCCTCAGTGAACTTTGAAGAGCACATTTTGATCTACAAATCTGAGACGTCGCGCAGCTCTCCATGATAAATCCTTCGAGTTTTATACCATTAACAAACAAAGCAAATAGTAACAACGTACAGACAGCGCTACATGATCTTGCTACATAGCTGTTTTTTTATATGTTTTATTTTTAAAGCTAATAGTTCACTTTTTGTTCCATCATTCTAGCGGGGTAGAGTATTTCAACCTTCGGAAGGGATAGTATAGATAATAGAGCTTGAACAATATTTTTCCCACTCATGTACTTGTACATGCAAAATATCTTTTTCTTTTTGTTCACTTTTTCATCGCTACAAATCTCGATGACTGCCCGTAAAACATTAAATCAATCTTGCAGTAATAGCGAGTCAACCGCATGAACTTCGTTTTTGATAAATTTATTATTCTTAGTCAATATACTCTACAGTATTCTGAAAGAATGAAAATCAGATAGGTTAGATGTTGCATGTTACATACAATTCGTCATATAGTTTCGTCCAAAATCTGATTATGTTTTTCATTAACGTATATCTGTTGCTAAACTATAACCCTAGAGATCAAATCTTATAGAATATCTGCAAGGTTCTTGCAGTCTTATGACTGGTCCTCATTTGTCTACTGCTCGTAGACAGATTTACTTCCCCATATCTATGATGACTATAGGAAGAAAATGAAGATGATATAAAAATATGCGAGATGAGAATACAGAGCACGACATGTCGCTTGTTTGCCTAAACAAGCCTAAGTTTAATGCTTCTACAAGAGAAAAGTACTTAAAACATCTCTGATACCAGCTTTTTAGGTGTAATTTGTCTCTTGTAGAAGGTATGAGTGACTCGGCCAATAATGAACTCTACTAATCAAGGATTGGGATTAATCCGGCTTAAAAACTGTCGTGTAAATGTGGCTTGAGACATTTAGCGAATCTTCAGGTACATTTTCACATTTATCATAACACACATGTAACACATTTGGCAAAAAAATTGAAAAACAGAAAGAAGAAAAAGAGGATCATTACTTGGTTGCAAACAAAGGTTCTGTAGTATAGCAGCGCTTATTGGATCGATGACACATATCATGTAGAAAAAGAGGCAGAAAAATATGTAGCAGGAATCGTGTAACATACTGACGACTTATTAATCTATACCTACGATTCATCCAAATCCATTTAACATTTTTTTACAGCAAAGCATTGGTTTTTCCTGAAAAAGATATTTACTCAATTACCTTTTTAATTCGTAACTGCAAAAGATGTTCAAGTTTAAGGCAGCAGAAGAAATTATCTGGCTCTTTTAATGCCTGAACTTTCATTTGACAGCACGAAAGACAAGAGAGAACTCTTACTACTCTAACCTTTTTAAAGAAACTTTTCTTGGAAATTCACTTTCATCAAGAGAAACAAATTTGATGCCTTCCCAGTCGAAAGATTTTTATTCCATTAACTTTCCCTCTTTCCGAAAACTGTTTTTCTGCCAAAACGTCGCTACACACCTCTGAGAAATTCGAACAAAACCGTGTACTGGATCAGATAAGACTTGAGACACGTTTTGCATAACTAACACAATGCGATGAAGGAAAGAGAACGAGAAAGAGAACTATTTTTCTTTCTTATTTGACTATATCTGGTATACAGAACTCTGTCATATAATCAATGCGCTCGAGTTATATTACTCACAGTTGTTATTTATTGCTTTCTTTTTAAAGTGACGAAAGAATGCATTAAAATGTTTTTTAATAAAATGGGTATTTTTCTATAGTTAAATGTAACGTGTTATTAATGGAATCATCAAAAAACGAGTCAGTAATAATTAACTAAATACTTCTGAAGCAGCAGCTCGTGAAACTTTTCTCAAGCAAGATCTTGACTTCTTGAATTTTTCTTTAATTCTCTGGTGTCAAAATCAGGATAAAAATTTGATTATTTTTAAGTTTGGTGTTTTTTGTTCTTTGTTATTTTTTCTGTACAATTAAAGACATCTATTATGTATGATAGCGGTGAACATAAAGTAGCCACTGCCAGCTACTATTAACACTATTTGAAAAAATAACAATTATCAACAAATATAAATAATCATTCAATTGACTTATAACTGTTTGTCCGATTATTTTTATTTATTTTCTCTCCATTAATATTATTATACCGGCAGATAGCTCATGACACTTTCTAATAAATACCCAAGTATGGTCTTAAAATAACTAAAACCGCTATAGGAGAAGTTATTAAATGAACAGCCCATTACCCTGAATTTGCCAAAGTACTGTAGTAAGATATTGATTCAAGACCTCGATAAGAAAGTGTAAGAATTCAAGAAATTTCTCGAAGTCGAGATCTTGAACATCTTGTAAGTTCTTAACCTTCTTGTACCAAGACCTTGAGTGCTTGAATCTTGCACCCGGGATCTTGGAAATTCTTCAATCATCGTTTTGTTTTACACTCTTGTGTAAATATAAGTGCGAATATTTTCACACTTAGAATGACTTCGAATTTTTTTCTTCTTAAACATAGTAAGGAAGAACCTATGATTCTATATGGTTGTTTATCTGATAGTTATGACTGTCAAAAATGAAAACAAAATGTGGAAAAAGTTTTTCATTGAAGTTCTTGCAACATCTTGAACGGATTCGCTCAAGATTTTGAAACTTCTTTTCTCAAGATCTTGGCCAAAATCTAGAGTGAAAAATTCAAGAATACCAGATCTTGACTTCCTGGTGTTTCTTTAAAGATCTTGTGACATCTTTCTTTTCTTAACTCAAGTTCCACTAGGACTGCCAGTTTTCTATGAGCACAGAACTAGTTAATAACGCTGTTCATAGAAACACGAACAATACGGTGATTAGTCAATTCAATTCAATACCTCAATGTCTATAGAGAGTACTGTTTGAATATATTTTTTGAAGATTATGTCAGCGGTTAACTTGTGTCAAGAACTTAATTGCCGCAATGTTCAAAATGCCATTTGTTTACATTGTACTAAGCGTTTGTGTATCAATCATATCAAACAACATGCCGAACATTTGCTCGATGAAGCTAATTCCCTATGCGATCAGTTGAACGAGTTAACTGAGTACATTGCAGTCAGATCTACAGATACTGGGAAAGCAGCTGTTCTGGAACAGTTACACAATTGGCGGATAACGATGATTGACGAAGTTGAAAAGTTGTACATGGAAAAGTTGCAATATGTTGAACAACATGACACGTTACTGTGTGACAAACTAAATCAGTTTCATCAATCTCTAGATCAACGTCTTGCACACATACGCATACCACTCGAACATTTACACGCAAAACAAACAACAAATCAAGATGAATTAAATCATATAAGACAAAATATAAGTCGCTTAGAAGCTGAAATAGATGCATTACAATGGCAGATTGATGTTTCGACCAATAGGATAGACCTAAATCGAACAATGTTTGTTACATCGAAGCAAAGTACCAAGATGATGACCAATATACAGTCCATGGCATCTTCCGTTAATTCCAATCAGATCCATAATAGTCCTATACCACCATCACAAAATAACCCTCGCCATTCTTCGATATACAATAATACTTCATGTTTTGCAAAAACAAACGCGGGCTATGCACCTAATCAAGTTCCACTTATTGCACACAATTCTACTACGCCACCAAGTGAAAGTATGTAATGTTATTCTTTTTACGTATTCTTGTATAAAATGCAAGGGTCAAAACTAAGCATCTACCGTATTTCAGAATTAGTTTTTCCAACTGAACCATTTCTACCAAACCCACCAAAAAACATTGTATCAATCACTACCGCAAAATCTGATAAATCTCCTCCAGTTATTCAGTCTAAACAAAGTGCAGCTGATACTGCATCAAAGACCATCAATACGTCTTCGGAGATACTAACGTCATCCAATTGTACAGTACAAAAACCCTTGCTCAAAGAGCGTAAGTTACTATATACAATCTATTTTTTGGCTTATTTTGTCCTTTCTTTTAGAGAAACCAAACCCTACCGGGCATCATCATGTCGAAAGGACTAAAACAAAAAAATCTAATCAACTACATTCTTTTAAAAAGCTGGTCGGTTTGTTTGGAGATAGCTACACATCGCATACCACAATTCTCCAGTATATCGAGGTAAAGTGATATAGTGTAATAGACCTGATCTAAAAGATTTCTGTACTTTTGAGTTTTTCTAGTTTTTTTTTTATTAACATACCAAATTAACGCTTGAAAATCTATTATCTTAACTGAACAATTCGTTTTTATTTTCTGTAATAGAAAATGAATGTTCCACTCACCATACGCATAAAAGTTATTATTTTGTCATATCTTGATGCATGGTATTCAGCAGCGCCAACAAACTTCCATAGTTGAACATCAAATGCCATTATTGAGGAAAGTTTTATCTGCCAATATTGAAAACGAATTTCAAGCATTGTATGGAATTCAGCTGTTTTGTACGACATCAGTCAAGTTAACGGTTTCGAGAACAACTTTTACTCGATGGTTAGACAGGCTTAACACGGTTGATTTACTGTTTCAAACATTTTATGACTATGGATGTATTAGACGAGAAGTATTTGTTCAATGGCGTGACTGCCCAAATGGAGACGAACTTCATGGACATGACTCAGTAGCTAAAAACACAACAAATTTTTTCCACAAACTTGCTATGCCTGCTAGCAATTACGCATCAGCAATGGAAGAAGTACTAGTACATGAAGAAGTAGTATATGAAGAAGGAAGAAGTACAGGAATGGAAGAAGTAGATTAGAATATGACGTTCATAGTACAGCACTACATTAACACTGCGTTTCTTTAATATTGAAGCACAAGTTTTTAATCAGTTTTTCTCTGCAAAATAATAAATTACGAAACGAGTTTCAGCTCTACAAAACTTAATATCGACTGCTTTTTCTAGACTTTGTCACATTCACCTAGTTTCCTTGATTTGATTTTGTTGTTTGAACCCTCTAGATCAAGACCTTCGTATTCACAATGTGGATTTATTTTATGCAAAAGAATCAAAATAATGTTATATTACAGACACTTTGGTCTTTTTCTGTAGCGTGAGATTGAGCGTCGCATATCTCAGCAAAAACTAAACGTGATGTTTATTAAAAGTAGCCAACAGATAGTCCTGAGAATGAGAATCATTACTTCTTCTGAAAACAGGCTTCATGCACTAAATGTCCCGTGAGATTTTCAGCTTTATTTTCCTAATATCTCCATTAATACTCAACTTTTCGCAGCGATTCTTTTTTCCCTTTGCGATGCTCTGCATTACTCTTTACATTAATATCAATATGTATAGAAAACTGGGACTGAGTTAACTCTGATGCTGTAGCTAGTAGCCTGGGTGACCGTTGAATCTCACGTGTCAATGGTTGTATCTAAAGATGTTTTACGTATCGTTTATTCTTTAGATAATTGTTGATTATTGGCTGGGATTCAGATATCTTCGCTAATAGTCTAAATGATCGTTGGATCGTGGTTTTGCTTAATGACATTTTGTGTGCCGCTTATAATGAGTAGTGCGGACTCTAGGTTGCGATTTTGGATCTGCTAATATCTCACCTACTAAAATATATTCATCAAACTTCTTCAAACATTTCCTTAGAAGCTCCGTGTTCACATAATCTTCTGGCAGTATGGCGTTCAGTTTTTCCGACATAATTTTGATCACGGTTACAACATATCGCACAATAGACGTTATCTGATTGGAATTTAGATGTTTTGGTGTAGGACCTTTTACCTGAAACATTGTCTGAGTAGATGTTTACAAATCCGACTTCAACAAACCCAACCATGAAGAAATTTTTCAGCGCATTTCTGCGTTAAACATTAAAATAACGCACAAAAGAGCGACTTGCATACAAAATTTTACAAAAAAGGTCAACTAACACAGAATTTTGTTGATAATGTTTTTGTCATTTTTTGCAAAATTTTGTTTTTGCAAAAACGATGGCATTTTTTTTTTGGATTTTTACAAAAACACAAAACTGTGCAAAATTATTCAACCGAATATCTACATTTACTCTTAAGGGATATATTTGAATACGAATATCGATAAACTTTAATTTTATTTAATATCTTAAGTTTGCTTGTAATTCGTAATGAATAATATTATAATATTATATTATACGTATAATATAATATAAGCCAGACGTTTCAATTTATTAGCTAAATTTTCTTCAGTGGCAAAAAACAAAAACAAAAATAAATTTAGATTAAATTGGATCAATACATTTTAAAAACATTAAACATAATTTGTCACAAGGAGCTTTTTCAAATATCTTACATAAGATGTTAACAATAATACAATTGTACAAATGTGACGAAACAGATTGCACTACACACATGTAATGACAATTTTATCTCTCTTCCTATTTCTTTATCTGTTTGCCAAACTTTTCTTTTCTTTACTTTTAATTTTTCTATAGAAGTAGATAACATACATAAGGTACATATCAAAAATATCGCAACGTGGCACATATCTATATATTGTTAACAACAAATTCAAAACCATAACTAATAAAACAAGTAACTTTTTACAAAAACAAATTATTTAATTATTTAATAAGCAGCTAGTAACAAGAATAATATTTATACACACATCAAAAAGAAACAGATTGACAGTAATCATATACACACATACTTAACATGCAATGACACTCGCGCAGACAAAATCTGAACATAGTGACTTTTGTTCGTAACTCTATAAGTATACAAAGTAATCTAAATGAGATCACTATTTTCTACGCACGTTGGAAACAGCAATGGCAGAATTCCTACATTTCAGACATTCTACAGAATTCTGTAGAATTCTACACTTTTCCTATGAATTCTACAACAACTTTTCCACAGCTGAAATGTGATACGTCCGAGTTATTCTGAAAACAGAAATCTAGGAAATGTATAGAATTCTAAGTTAGTACAGATATATTTATTATTGACCAAGTTTGAGTCAAGCGGAAATTTATAGAATTCTATAGAATTCTACATTACTACACAT